TGTAATCTATATATACTTTGCTATTGTTGCCCTATTCTTAGAAATTACCAAAAGTTTCCACTCTTTTCATGCTGATATTGTCATGCAAAGTTGAATTCTATGGTTTTGTATTATCTTGTAACTCGTTTAATGCATTGTTCATCTGAGAACATCATGCTGACGTTTTCTTAGATAATGCCGCAAATAGGCTAGCGACCATTGGATAATTCAAGCGCTTCCTAAAAGAGCCTGTCTGAAAGCCGCAGCTGTGCCCATTTCCGGCGATCTGCAAACTCAATTTCTACACTATAGCATGATTAAAAATAACAGGACAAAATGTGTCATTTTTCTTTCCGGGGAAGTGAAATACACTAAAGTGAACATGGAAACTCTTGAAAATGCTATTTGTCTTGATGAGTATACGGTCAAAATATACATTGTTTACAGGATTCCCAATCCAATGTTGGGTTCCAGCTACGTTTACCGATGCTATGGAGCAATATACGGAAAACTACTGTTGGGTACAAAATACCTATTGGGTTCCAATGCAGGTATGCGCGAAATATAATCAAATTTTGAAGATATCGGATGCTATTTTGCGTATAGCAGCGAAGAAAATATATGTTTATGCTGTATACGTTCAGGAGGATATTCCCCGCGAAATTTACTCACGTCGCAATCGGCAAATTGGTTATTATCAGTGGGTGCCTTTCATACTGGCAATAGAAGCGCTTCTTTTCTATGTGCCGTGCATACTTTGGAGAGGACTGCTTTATTGGCACAGTGGTAAGAAGAAATAACTAAGATCTCGTGCGAAGCAGATAGAGTTTTGGTGAACTGCCAAAAATTTGCATTTATTTAGGAATCAATTTGCAAGGTCTCGTTCAAATGGCATGCGATGCTCGTCTAATGGATTCTGAAGTGAAGACGAGAACCGTCTACACTATGGCGCGGCATATGCAGGACGAAGTGCAGGTGGAAATAAAAACTTATTTTACTACGAATGAACGCATAGTTATAATACACAACCATTAAATCGAGCATTTTCACAATTTTGCTTTTAGTTTCGGTCACAGCTCAAGAGTTTACTGATGTGAAACAAATTACTAGTACAAAATCAGTCATGATTTACATACTAATCTATTTCTAAAGACATT